ATCTATGGATCACCTCTGTTTACCTGATAAGGGGCTCAGTCCACGGACAGCCCATAATTTCCAAAGGCACAGGTTACCTACCGGTATAATATATGGATCGCGAACGTAAACAACATTATAAATGTCAAGATCGATACTAACTTTATAGTCCGCTTCATAACATCTACTATTAGTATATATACCACACAAGTGAATAGTGCTTTTTGCGCGCTCCGGTTGGTTAACTCGGAGGTGATTAGCAAGTACTATTCACCTCCGGGCAGCCGGCGCGAGAGATTTAAAAAATTCCGACCGTTTGTCACACTATATAAAAAAAAAACGTTTTGGTCCACTAATTATTCAGCTGGTGTGGTATATACTAAAACAATTATTCACCTCAGTGTCGGTGAAAGTGATGGATATTTACCTCCACTTCGGTGAATAATTGTTAATTCTCAAGCAGAAGTAGTTGAAAAAGTGCTAAAAAAAAAAAATACTAGACAACCGGTGAGTTAAAATTAACTGCTAGAAGTTTAACTGTGAGCAGGGACAGTCGGAGAGGAGAAAAATCTGCTTACCTTCTAAAAGCCTCCGTCTTTGATTGTATGAGTTTTCATCACAGTCCATGTTTAGTTTTTCTTTCTGATCGATTCCAGGCGAGTACTGGTCCGGCAGTGCTACTCTCTTTAGTCCTTTACACGAGGGTAGCACAAGAAAGACTGGACAAAGTCTCAGTTTATTATAACTGTTATTATGGGATGCTCTTGCCTAGGATTCCTTGGCTTGTAAACAAAGTTCAGTTTTGAACACATGTGCAGTGATGTAATGGTAATAAAAGGGTTAGCTTTGCAATCATAGTTAAGAGAGGGGAATGGTTATGAAACCCGACAAATTTCTTTGCTGTATGTTTTTGTTCTCTTTTTTGGCCATGACCGTGCATGAAATACAATAGCTGTTTACTCCGTACTGAGGAACTAACCAATAGCAACGTTTTGGTTACGTACTTTATGCATAGTGTATGAGCGCAAAACAAAAGGTTGTGCACGGTTGTGGAGCTGTCAACATAAATCGTGGCATCTTTTTGTTCTCTTTCTTGGCCTTGAGCGTGCACAAAATACAATAGCTGTTTTCTCCGTACTGAGGAACTAACCAATTACAACGTTTTGGTTACGTACTTTATGCATAGTGTATGAGCGCAAAACAAAAGATTGTGCATGGTCGTGGACCTGTGAACATAAATCTTGGCATCTTTTTGTTTTCTTTCTTGGCCTTGACCGTGCACAAAATACAATAGTTGTTTACTCCGTACTGAGGAACTAGCGAATAGAAACGTTTTGGTTACGTACTTCATGCATAGTGTATGGGTGCAAAACAAACGATTGTGCATGGTCGTGGACCTTCCAACATAAATCTTGGCATCTTTGTTTGCTCAGCCTTTGATGTTTGCCGGGCTTCATAACCATTTCCCTCTCAAAACTGTGTTGCAATGAAGTAGTTATAGCTATTAAATCGTGGTATCATTAAAAAAGATATTAGTGTCACTTGCAATTGAAAAGACTCTCTGCATTAGGCTCAGTTGCAGGATATTTCCCATCCAATATCGAGAATACGGAAATGGTCTATTGAAGACAAATAAAGATGATAACAATTCTCGCCATATTTTTCGACCGTACCTCATGATCACAGTGTTCTTCAGGCCCCAGTTGTTCAAAGGCTGGATGACGCTATCCACCTGGTAAATCTCGCTCCAGTGGACTAGTGTCAACATGACAGATCACGTTATCCACTGGATAGTGACTCATCCGGTGGACAGCGGTATCCAGCCTTTGAATAACTGGGGCCAGGTTAGTGAGCCCCGCGTCATTTGTATTCAGTCTTGTGACGACAAGTGGTTGAAAATGGCGTTGGCGTCTGATGTGAATGGCCTCCTCGGTTTGTCTTTTGATGTCCACGTCCGTGTTTTAAGGATGTTGACCCCCTCCCAGCCGATCCCGAGACAGTGGCTTTGGACTATTGTTCCCAGATTGCAGATACACGAGGTTTTTAAGATTCTCCTGTGAAATTACCCTCCCTCTAGAATAACCAGCGATCAGACATTTCTGTTTCGCTCTTACGCATATATGCCAGTTAATATTAATAGTTCTTAGTCTCTGGCCTCTTCTCCAATATCGCACAAAAATAGGTCTGCAAAGCGTACAGTACCTGCCGGCTTGACAGTGGGTATTGTCTACAGGTGTTTGGAAGGAGCTATCCATGTGCCTACGTATAACCACTGTGTGGATGGCGAAAGATTGGTCGCACATTCTCATCCCCCGAGATACGTACTGATCACTTACCCTCGTTAGTTGGATCGTGAAGCGACGGTGAATACGTGTTGGACGCAGTTCCCAATATCGCACGCGTCTGGCTCAAGACACGATTTACAAGCCGTTATTCGGAAAAGAAGCCCGCGCTACAGAACTCGAGACGGCTGCGACAATCGCCTCTCACTTGCAGGTTGCTCAGGGTCTGGGGATGAGTCTGATCAGTATATCCTGTTTTGGTATAAATCTACTAGCATTCTATTAAGAATGCCGTTCTCTTGTTGGCCTCGCTACTCGTTATCTATTCTGTTGTACATAGTGAGCAGCCTAGGGGTGCACGTGTGCGGTTAACAAAATGGCGCCCGCTTCTTTGCGTTTTTAGTGTCTGATATTTAGACAAAGTTTTGAGCGACCAGCAGATCTATACTAAACAATTAGATTATTCGTTCTTAATTTCTATGCGTGAAATAAGTCTCGTGCTCATAATCTAATCCTTAATTAGAAACCAAACGAAAAGTGAACAGACGACTCAGGTTGAAAAGTTAAAATGAAATTGTAGATCTTTATTCTATAGATAAAATTATTTTTTTACTGTAACACAAATTAATTGGATCATTTGTCAGAGGTAAATAACCAAACTATAAAAACTACAAGGGTCTATGCTTTCGAAGGCTGTCAAGAGTTTGTTTAGGACTAGTGTTTATATATTTTCTACAATTCTCGTTGTTAGGATAAAAATGTTGCAGATCGTATACGATTGTGAAACGTTGGCCATAATCCTACAACGACAACGAGCCGTGTGACAATTTCAAAGGAGTAAGACAAAACGGCCACTCAACAACCACTGAGTGCTTTGATATACATTGGAATCCCGATTTTTCGAACCTCCAAGGTAAACGAAAATTGCCTTGAAATACCGGGTAGTTCGAGAAATCGAAGGTAAAGTTAGAGTGTTCGACTGAACGAAGGGAAACGGCTTTTTGCTCGAGTTATCGGGAGGTTCGAAAGATGGAGGGTTCGAGAAATCGGTATTTCACTTTAACATAAAACAAGTACAGCTCAAAACTACTAAAAGACTACAATGATTGCAAAAACAATCACATCTCTCAGGCTTATCTTGCTCATCAGCCATACCCGTTTCCACAAACAACATAGACTTTTATAAAAATGTATTCTTGTAAGCTCCGGTTGCTTCCCAGAAGGAATACAACTGCGTCAAGGGAGGCGCGCCTTAACAAAATTAAGCCTAAACAAAAAGGACAGCCCCGAAAAACTTAAGCTTATGAAGCTTGCGAAAACCGGCTGAGCAAGTGTTTGTACAGGTACGGCATTAAATTTAAGACTGTTTTCTTTTGTTTTCGCAAAAATATACCCACGAACAGTCTTTACTCAAATATCTAGTTTCCCTTCGTATGGATTGGTTAAAAAAAATAATACACACATCTCCTTGATGTGAAGTGTCACTCTTGACTCAAGACTATGATTAACTGGAGTTGCTAACGTCTTAATACTAATCTGAAAACTGTCTTATTGAATTACTATGTAGATTGCTACCTAAGATACAAGTCAGCTTTCAAAGCTCTCTTTACAGTAAAACAGTCAACTACGCCGCCGTTTTTTAGGCTTGTCACGCAACGCTTGCCAGTGAAGACCATTTATCTGAGTGGTAACACAACGCTTCTCCTTGACAGCCCGTACAATGACTGCGAAGTGGTTTACTTGATAAAGAACAAATTCTGAAAACTCACATTAAATTCATGCGTGTACTTTTTTTCCTTTTGAAATAATAGATTGTTCAATTACAAACGGTAAGTATGATACTTGTGAATGACGCTTATTTTCAAACTGATGAATACATATCGAATTTCGTTTTCCAGCAACAGTACTGTCACTTGATGCACCAAGTGATCAATTCACGGGCAACAAGAACAGGGGAAGAAACGTAAGTGCCAGTTTCAGTAGGATAAGTTGTCTCCAGGAGTTGACAGAGACATAAGAAGTTGCTTCGAGGTAGTCTGACACAAAAGTCACAGTGAAACATACCGAAAACTCGATGATATTCGCTCGTTTTTTCTTGTTTTCTTTTCAATGTTTTGTTTTTTTTTAATCTTTCTTCTTTCTCTTAAATTGGTCTACCAGAGTCGGAACTTTTCTTCGAGTACTTACGACGATTTACTGAATACAGCACTTGATCCCACCACAACTTGATAAAACGCAAATTTTCCTTTCACTGTTTATAAAATGGCTATAAACCCGTTGAAAGTTTCACTTGCAATTATTAAAACTCAATGTCAGAAATTCAGTTTGCCGATAGCAAATTGGTGAAACAACAAAAATAGACCGGCCTAATCTTTATTACTGTTCCAGCAACAAAAACAATTACAAACTAACTACATAATATGAACGTGAGCGTCACGTGGTTCATGATGGGAAGAACGAGATTACTGTTCCTTGTAAGCTCTTCTCAATAAGAACAAGAAGGAAATTATTCGAAATCCTACCATCAAAGCTAAAAGACAGTAAATGTCAAACAGTAGATTGTCCTGTAGAAACAACAACAAAAATAACAAAGTTAGGTTTGTTTTCGCAACTGTCAAAAATAGCAACAAGGGTACATAGGAAACTGGATGAAGGCCCTTACTGGTTGACCGAGGGCTGGTGTCAATATCATGCAAACATGAAACTTGATTCAAGTGAAAGATGAAATGTTCACCACGACACCAGCGTGGGACAAAGAAAGTCCCAGGCGCGATTCAAACCCATGACCTCCTAGAAACCAGTTGGGCATTCTAAGAAATGAGAAAATCCACACAATTCAAACCAGAACTTGTAGTAAATGGAAAGCGGAAGAAACATTTTTCCAGCAGAAAATACTTGTGCCTTTTTCCTCCGCTTGACAGAAGTTCCAGATTCGACCGAGTGATGACGTAGCATTACGTCAATGCTACGTCATCAGAGTGCACACTGCCCCTGATGGTTATCTTCAGAGTGACGTCATCAATAGTTGTTTTGGGAGGAGTGGAGATGAATGTACAGGTCTATCTCTAGGAAATCTCTGTCACTTTAACGGGTAACCAAATAGACTATTTTCGTATTCCCGTTATTGGACTGGAACTAGCTTGCAACTCAGACTAATGCAAGGCGTCTTTTCAAATGCAAATGACATTTATCTCTCTTTAATGATATTCCACTCCATGAGCTTCCACTGTAAGCTAGTCCCAGTCCAATACCGAGAACAGGAATACATGTATGGCCTCTACAAGTGTACAGTTTGTTCGTTTGTTGTTTTTCTTTCCTTCTTTCTCTCTCTCTCTNTTATTCGAAATCCTACCATCAAAGCTAAAAGACAGTAAATGTCAAACAGTAGATTGTCCTGTAGAAACAACAACAAAAATAACAAAGTTAGGTTTGTTTTCGCAACTGTCAAAAATAGCAGCAAGAGTACATAGAAAACTGGATGATGGCCCTTAATGGTTGACCGAGGGCTGGTGTCAATATCATGCAAACATGAAACTTGATTCCAGTGAAAGATGAAATGTTCACCACGACACCAGCGTGGGACAAAGAAAGTCCCAAGCGCGATTCAAACTCATAACCTCCTAGAAACCAGTTGGGCATTCTGACAAATGAGAAAATCCAAACAATTCAAACCAGAACTTCTAGTGAATGGAAAGCGAAAGAAACATTTTTCCAGCAAATAATACTTGCGCCTTTTTTCTCTGCTTTAGAGAAGTTCCAGATTCGACCGAGTGATGACGTAGCTTTACGTCATCACAGTGCACACTGCCCCTGATGGTTATCTTCAGAGTGACGTCATCACTATGGCTGTTCTTTTGGGAGAGGAGTGGAGACGAATTTACAGGTCTATCTCTAGGAAATCTCTGTCATTTTTACGGGCAACCAAATAGACCATTTTCGTATTCCCGTTATTGGACTGGAACTAGCTTGCAACTGAGGTTAATGCAGGGAGTCTTTTCAAATGCAAATGACATAAATCGCTTTTTATTGATATTCTTCCACCGCACGAGCTTCCACTGTAAGCTGGTTCCACTCCAATACCGAGAACACGAATACATGTATGGCCTTTCGAACAAAAGATACAAGTGTACAGGTTGCTTGTTTGTTGTTTTTCTTTTCTTCTTTCTCTCACTCTCTTCCGTTCTGTCTCTCTTAGAAAACACAAACAATCAAACAGACAAAATCTGTGTACCCAGTGCTGTTTGTATATTTAATGGCATGGGCCCGAGGGCAATTAAGGATTAATTTCGCGCGTATTTTCATAGTTTTCACAAAATTGCCCGAGTCGCGAAGCGACGAGGGTAATTTGGAAAACTTTGAAAATACAAGTGAAATTTATCCTTAATTGCCCGAGGGCACTTGTGATTACTTGCTTATCGCATAAAGGGAAAAATTCTGTACAAAGGAAAACTCTCAAGGTCTCGCAGTCGCGTAAACAGGTTTGCCGGTTGTCATTAAAGAACAGGCTAGCAGTAGAACTGGGAAAGCATACTATGATAGTAGGAAAAACAGAGCAAGTTGAATTCACTGAAACAAATTTCTTTGCAAATAAAACTTAAAGCAATATAATTTTATTCACCTGTTTTGCGAAACTTGTAAAGGCGTGAAACTACTTCATCGATCGCTTAAAGTCGTAACCAAGTGTCCAAACGAGCTCTAATAACTTCTTGAATCCAAAACTCTCCTTTCCACCGCGAAAACTTAACGTACCAACAAAATAAATTTACGCTGCTTTTTTTTCACGCCGATGAGGTGACCTGTGATACTAATAAGGCGACCCGAAGCAAAATGAAGAAATTAACTTTCAGTTTAGCAGCCATGAAGTTCGGTAACTCTATGCTTCGTGCGACACCAGCCGACCCCTACTCAAACTTTTTTCAGGCAGCGAATCAATACATTTTT